CGGTGGCATCCTGAAGGGACTTTGTCCCTGATGCTGGCAAAGCACTTCATACCCCTCCACGTTCAGAGCAGCTGGTCCCAGTAAATAGACTCTTTTCTTCCCTTCTACCACTCAGAAATATGGTAAATGCCACAATTTCTCCCATTCTTTTACTTAATTGAAACTATTACCAGATTTAAAGTTAAGATATTTCAGCATAATAGGGCTGTAATAGTCTTTATAATAATGTTTTAAAACAGAAAGTAATTAGGGCCTCCATAGAGAGTATATAAAAATGTTCAAGTGAGCAGAATCATAGAATAGAATACAGTTGGGGTCGGAAGGGACCTTTCAAGGCCATCCAGTCTAACTGCCTGCAATGAGCAGGGACATCTTCACCTGGATCAGAGCCCCGTCCAACCTGACCTTGAATGTTTCCAGGGATATTGGCATCGACTACTTCTCTGGGAAACCTGTGCCAGTGTCTCCCCGCCCTCAGCATAAAAAATTTCTTCCTTCTATCCAGTCTTAATCTGCCCTCTTTTAGTTTAAAACCATTATTTTCCTATTCCTGGAAACCAAATTTCAATGTTCTTGCTCCAGTCGTGATTTCCTATCACATTCCAATCCAACAGACAAATTTCATTACCAGACAGCGGAACATAAGGAAAAACTAAAACCTGTATTAAAAGCAACGGGGAAAGCATCAAGGGGGAAGTAGTGTTTGTTCCTGTCTTGATGCTGGCCTGGAGAAACCGAAACACTGCCTTGATCTTCCACACAGACACTAGGTAGAACAAAATCCATTTCTACAGGTGCAGTTACAATAATTCACCAAATCTGGGGATGAAGAGCCAGAAGACAGAGAGAAAAGTGAAAAAATGAGAGGCAAGTAGTCCTTAAAAAAAAAAAAAATACAAGGGAAACAGTACTCAATCTCCCCAGGGCATTGTGACAGCTCTTGTCTGCCAACTGCCCCTGGCCAGGGAAGCGGTGAGAAAGTACTATCATCTTCCTCCTCGTACAACCACAGCCTCTGCCCGTAACATTCACTGGGAGGAAAAAAAAGTCAGTAAAAATTAGTTGTGACTCTGCTTGCTTCCAAAATGCGGGCTCCGAGTACATTTCTCTGACCTGATAGAGAAAAACGTCCCACTGCCGTGCCTCACAGGTGCTGGCCAACAGAAATCCATTTCTCCTCTCAAATTATTTACACTGAACAGGGCAAATTCCTCCGGCTTCTCCATCAGAGAACCCCTAACCTTTCAACCCTGATCTTTCCAGGTTCCTTCCAACATGGGCTGTTTAATGACTCTGTGATAATATATAAAACACAAACTTCTTTCAAAATTTAAAACCTGATGGGTCCACACATGTGCATTTACCTGTGACCTCTTCAATCTCAGGTCACCGCCAGCGACAGATCATGTCCTAATTGCATCACAGTAGCCCAATGGCCGCACTGCAGTATTTTAAATGAACCATTTATTTGGAAGACACCAAGCGAAAGCCCAGGACTGTAGAAACACACATAACCAGAGATACCACTGAAGTTTCCTGCAGCTACAAAAGTCCCCATGTCTCAGCCTGAGGAGGGTAAGTCTCTACAAGCAAATCCTTGAGTACACAAAGTTAATCAATTTGTCACTCAATCTGTGCAATGCTACCAATTTCAAGATATTTAAGAAATGCAAGTGAAAAATAAAACCGGAAATACAGTATGGATGCAGCATAATTTTTAATATAAGTGAAAGGCAGATATACATTGAAAGGCGTACAGAATGGAAAGACTACATTCCCAAGGACACATTACACCCTGCCAACACCATTCATTCCGAGTTCATGTTTTGTACATCATTGCAACAAACATAAAAGCCCGTTTACAAAGAACTGCAGCATCAAGCAGCAAGCCTTTGATCAAGAGAAGAGCCTGAGTGGCAAGAGAGCAAGCAAACACAGAGCAGAATACGGATAACTCATTGCAAGCACTTCAACAGCAGCGCAGAGCACTCCAAGCCTCCACGAAGGGGGGCTGTTGTCACCAGGGCTCTGCACGTCGGGGACCGCTGCGGCCAGAATCCACCGTCAATCCATGCTTGCCAGGCCTAGGTTGATCTTCATTTCAGGGACGTTCCAGGTTGGGTTTAGCACGTGTAGCAACTCCCGTAGCCAAATCTTTGGCCATATCGTGAACTGAAGGGGTAGCCATAGCGGCCAGAGTAAAAGCCTGGGTAGCCATAGCAGTCCCCAGAGCCATAGAAGCCCCTATAGCCGCCATACAGACCCCCATAGCCGTAGCAGTCCCCAGGGCCGTAAATGCCCCGGTAACCATACAGACCGCCACAGCCGTAGCGGTCCCCATAGCCATAGAGGCCCCGGTAGCCGTAGAGGCCCCCATAGCCCCGGTAGCCATACAAGTTCCCGTAATTGCAGGGAAAATAGCAGTCATCTTCGCACTGGCCTGAGAGGAAAGTCATCTTTCTGCGATGGAGGTAAACCTGAAACAGCAGCAGGGAGGAAAGCAAAAGTAACAAATACTTTCAGTTGCAGTAAGAGTTTCAGAGCCCAAAGAGTTCTTCACTGGCCCCCTGAGACCAAGGACTCATTATTACTATGCCAAACTATGACCAAATTCCTCAGCTCCTTATCACATCCCATTTCTATCCTTATCTCATTTACCCACTGCTTTTAAACAATTTTTATGTCTTTTCTCACTTACTGAGATTGGTGAAAGCACTGACCATGGAATATACCTATTGCAGGTCAAAACCTCCTGACGCTTGTTCACAATTTTTCTTGAAGAATATTGTTAGGCCTTAACAATCCTGAACTTCTTTTAGTATATCAGCTCTATAAAGCTCTACGTTCTCAAATCCTTCCAGACAGTTTAGTTTCTGACGTTTGCCATGATAGCAAACTTCAGCTTTTGGGTCTTGGCTCCGTGTCCTGTTTCAGTAACCTACACCAATTTTGGACTGGCACCTGGAAACCCTGACAGCACACGCAAGAAAATACGGAGTGTTAGCCTAGACGAGAACATCTGCTGTCCTGCCCAACAGACCTGAAGTCCTCCCTTAAACTAAACCAGAAGGTTTATGGAAGAACCCACTGAAACCCTGCTCTAACTCTGCAGGAGGCAGCTCTGCAGATCTCGTAGCCAGCGATCTTTATCTGGTAGCCAGATACCCCAGGCACCAGCAGGACCAGGAAAGTTTCAGCCCCAGCTTTAAAACTTGAACCTGCCAGTAAGTCCAGGTACAAGGTGCAGAGAAATCTGACATTTCAGAGAAGTCACAATCCTAACATAAATCATTAAACCAAAATTTCTAACCCTTATGAAGAGACCAAATGGAGAAAAGGCTTACCGAGTTCACCAGAGGAGGAAGGCAAGAGAGCTGATGAGGAGCCTACAGCTCCGAGCCCTTTTTATACTGATCCTTCACCCTCCCGGCTTATCTAAGACACCCTGTTTATTCAAAACGTTTGTGGCCTCATTGGCTGGAAAACAAATATGTCTGTACATGTCATATCTTCAATTAATATAATTTTCTTCATTGTTTGGGATTATTAGCGTGTTCCTAGCTTCCCATATGTAACATATTACAGGTTTCTTTCATCTTCAAATTTTCTGGGCCAACTGCATTCCTGATACCATTTTATTTTCTTCACTGTCGAAACTAAAGTTTATTTTTTATATAATATAAAAACATTTAAATGTTCACAAAGCCATTGGCAGGAGAGAGGTTTTCAGCAAAAAAGGAAAAACTTTCCCACATGTTTGAAAATATCTGGTTTTCACCAGAAACTCAAACGTGCCACAGTACAGGCTTTCTGTTTAAAGGAAGTTTAAACAGTTTTAGGTATTTTATATGAAACTACATCGCAGCTTCAGGAAACATGACCAGCACAAGCTGCAAATAAATCATAATTGCATTCCTCCAAAGTGTTGATTGCAAATAAAAGTCATGTTGCTGCATGAACAGAAAATGTTTCCAACAGAAATACGACTGCGAGATTGTTTGCAGCTTCGTTCACTGAAGGGCTTGACTGTGAGTTCGGCGCAACAGAGCAGAGAATACACGTACAAACTTGGTCTGGAAAATAATGAATGCTATTTTCCAATGAACCGTGTTAATATTTTCTTCGCAAAGAATCAACCACACGTATCAAATACGGTGCCATAGTGAAGAATGCTGGAGTTTACTGCAGAACTCCTTGTATGACCTTCACCTCATTTCTGGCATTAATTTGAATATAAAATAAGGGTAATAATGAGCAAGCAGGATGTTGAGGCTTCCTCAGAATTTTGAATACCAAAGCACTTCATAAGCACTCATTAATGTTTTCAATTTGCAAAGTGTTGCAGTATTTTAATATTAATAGTTTGTCACCAAAAGACACCTCCAGACTTAATAATATGGTCACTTACAAGACACACCAAGGTGTCTTGTTTCTATGTCCTAATAAGGTTATGCATTGTATGTTCTATAAAAGTCAGAAACTATTAAAAAAACTCTTCTAAAATAGGAACAAATATTTGGGAACATTCATAACAGGTGAAAAATTTCTTCAAAATCACTGTTGTAGAACACAAGACAAAAAATCCCCAGACCTGCTGGCAATAGATCCCCACCAGTATCACCAGGCGGTACGCACAGGTCATGACAACGCCGAATAGCAGCGCTACTACCTTTCGGCACACCAAAGACAAGCCTACTGCTCTTCTCCCCTGCGCGTTGCACCACAGATGCAAAAGCCAAGCGAATGGAGCACCTACAAGGAGCTTGCACAACCAGTAATGGTCTAAACATCTCCCAAAATTATTCCTATACTTCCAGCTCCAAAGAATTCCACACAATTTTACTAGAAATGTGCTGAGACCATTTCTTCTCATTTTAAGATGAAAGAAATTCTAAAGGTATTACATGTGTCATAAGATCAAACTTTGAAAATATGAAAATCACTGACTCCAATTATATCAATTGAAGGAATAATGCACACATGGAGATACGTTGTATAACACCTAAGTTTAAGAAGGTATATATACGGACCTACGACTCCAAAATTTTATTCACTTCTATCAAGCTACTCCTCTCGGTGAACCAGGTAAGTCAATATTGACTCTGCTCTTTTTGATATACATCTATTTGTCTGTATGTATGTCTTTGTATAAATACTTGTGTGTGCGTGCATGGATATATATCTAAAAAAGCACTGGTGTGTACATATATACTACACACAGAGTGTGTGTCTATGTATACGTGCAGACATTCTGTAAGCAATTTTTTGTCATTTTGGAGCTAATCACACAAAGTCCTCTGCAACACCAAAGAACCACTTCACTGGAACTTGTTTGCTCTTCCTGTGCTTATTTCACAGTAGGCTTCAAGGCACTGAAAATCTGAAGTTTACTGCCACAATTTTGAAGTCCTAAGTAATCCTCCATTCCAGATTACTTTTGTTAGGTGTTGGGAATTCAGATCCCTAGATAAAACCTTTATGAAACCTTTACTGCCTTGAGTAGACAATCTGGAAGGAAAATCCTCCATTTCACTGTATGCTTTGGGTTTATCCCATGCTGAGCACGCAGCACTACGGGAGAGCAGGAGATGCAGGTGGTCCATCAGCTGTTGGTCTCATCTGAACTGGCATATTTTTCTTTAATTTAGTCAAATTTCGCTAGCTTCTAGTGTGGAAAAGTTTGGTTCTTGGTTGGTAAAAGCCGTATTTTCTATGTAGAGTCACTCATTTTCAAAAGTTGAGGGGAAAAAATAGAAAAGTTGTTTGGGATTCAGGAGTTTAGAAAAATAAACAAGTTGGTTAAGGGGAAAAAGACCGACAGGAGAGAGCAAGTTACATTTCCTCAGCTCGGTCCAAGATTTGAGCCTTTCCTCCTGCTGTCAGCACCCCATTAACTCACCTCGCTTCTGGGTGTGTGTTCCAGGCTTACCTGCACCAAACAACGATGACTTTCTACAGCGATCTCTACGATGATGGAAGCTACTCATCCTTTGGCTATGCCAACCTCTACGGGCTCGGGGGCCTGAATGGCTATCGATTTGGGAGCCCATATGGCTACTACTTGGACCAGTACCAATATGGGAGCCCATATGGCTACAGAAGCTTTGGGAGCCTGTATGGAAACAGAGGCTTGATTGGTTATGGGGGCTACTACGGGTATGGGGACTCATACGGATTTGGGTATGGCTATCCCTTCTTTTCTCGTTTTGGCAACAGATACAGGTATTGAAACTGCTATCCATGCTGAACCAGCAGAAATAGCAACCAAGAAATGAAACGCAGGACACCGATCTGTGGCTAAGGTTGTGGCGCTGAGAAACACCGAGCACCCATGCCTCTGGCTAAGTTCAGTGGGACACGTGGGTGCCAGGCTGCATAAGACTACCCCACACGTAACCCTCTTTAATATCTCCTGTTTCTTCAACTATTACTCTAAAGGGCAACTTGAATTACAGCAAGTACTGAGGCATCTTTACAGCATGTTGATGGAGCAAAGCAAGACTTTCAGGTGTGAGTAAAGTGCCTTTTAAGTTAGTTCGCAGCCAATTTGTATTGCCATAGTAACAAGAGTTTCTGCAACCAGCATGAACAAGTCCACCTAGCTCAGCTATGAACTTCACCAAAGATAACATCTAGTAGAGAGGCTCCTGTTCTATGTCCATGCTGTGCCTCAACTGGCAGTGAACACGATTTACAAGCAACGTGTCTGGACTGTCAAACTCCACCATTTCCTCAAGGAGAGAGCATCATCCAGCATTGGACACACTCTGCTTGCTGAAGAGCCTTTTATAAAACTGCAAACTTCTTTCTGTTACTCACTGTTTCTCTTTTTCATTAAAATTACTCTGCTTAACAGTATCAGATGTTCAGTCTTCTCCTTTTATTTGTGCTCATACGCCACTAAAGGCACGGGCAGCACTGCCATTCTGACCAACCCTACAATGAGAGCGAGGTCTAGACTCCAGACGTTCAAGAGTATCACCACGTGTCCAGCTGCAATGTTCCAGTCCCAACTTGTTTCCCAGACTAGGAAGAAGTTCTACCATATTTTAACTAACGTGTGACCCTGGGTTTACACAAGTACTGCTCCAGAAAAGGGCATCACCTGACTCTGTACTACCAAACTCAGACACTCCTGTAGCAAGCTGGGGTTTGTGCCTGAAAAATAACTTTCAAATGCAAGAGAACGAGTGGGAGTTTCATGGTCTGCCAAGGAAACGCAGCAATGACATTCAAGGTTAAAGACACCTAAGAGAAAAGACCACAGGCAGCCAAGCCATGACCATCTGCTGGAGACCTCATCTCCTTTGCAAACTGAACAGCCAGGTTATTCAGGGAGTTCCTGTCAGTCTCTACCATGTCACCTTAGGAGATTGAGTAGTCTTGATTTGGATTTATAATATTAAAGATTATAACCTGGCACGGAAGAAGGTAGTTCAACAAGCACAGCCTAGACAAAACTGCATGGATCCCATATGAGCCCAGTTCTACATCAAAGACACCACCATGAGTCAAAAATCCTGCTGCAGAGGCAACTGTGAGGGGGCACCTCTGGGCAGATATTTAAGAGGCCTCCTACATGGCTAGTCCTTCTCTTCTCACGGTGGTCACCTGCACAAGCATTCTGCACTCCTCAGCTGACGGTGCAGAGTGGAGGAAAGGGTAAAAAAAATTAATAGCAGAGCAGATTGGACTCACACTTTCCTAAACAGAAAGCCAGCCATAGTTAGCAGGATAGTCCCCAAGTTGTAAGTGTTATTCCTCCAACATCCATTTCTTTACAACCATGTCATTGCTTTCACTTCTACCATTTGACCTTGAATGGGACTGTAGCAGAAGATGAGCACCACAGGTCCATCTCCTTGTCTGGGAAGGAGCAGCCACAGCCAAGAGATGGGCTTGGTCTGCTGCCTTGTTGCTCAGACCTCCCCTCTTTGTGTCCCAGTTTGAGCAAGACGAAGCCAGATGAGTATGTCCCAGGCAGAGGGCGAGGGCAGCAACCTCCACCCCAGCCTCCCAGCAGGGCACGTCAGCAATAAATCAGTACGGCCCTTTGAAACCGGCAAAGCTGTTAAGACATCTCTTGTAATCCTTCTGCTAGCTGCAGTCAGCAGCAAACAGGGCTGGGTTCCCCGGGGAAAGCATGAAGAAATGTTAAGCGTCTCCCACCACAATAAATTCAGTTTATCTCCCTCGGATGCCCTCTGGCACGCAAGGCTTTTCCTACCTGCGTGTACAGCGCAGAGGGGCTTACAGGGGCACAGGAAAAGAGACAGAATAAAACACAGAAAGCCAAATATTTGGGTGAAATTCTCAGCCTGACCAGGGTCCTTTAGACCCAACTTCACATCAGGTGCCTGTCCACATTTGCTGACGCAGCAATATTTATTTTCTTCCCTTCGCCACATGCCACTTGGTGCATTACCAGAGGCACCATCGCTTCCGACATCAAGTGCCATCACCACCCGGTGCCCAAGGAACACAGCCTACAGGCTATGGTTGCCCACCAGCTCCAGACTTCCCAAACCTGCCACTCGCCTCCACCACACTGCCTCAGAGCCTCCTGGGCACCACCCTGCTGCCCTTTCGGCTTTGAAGGTGCCACTGCTGCAGTCATGACTCCAGCTCTGCACACAGCACTGGGGGTGCCCCGCTGCACCCCACTGCTGCCTCCCAACCTCAGCCTTTCCCTTGCTCCCCCCCTGCACCAGGGATCCAGGGCACAGCTGGGATCTCCTGCCCTGCTCCAGATCCACGTTATGCAGATACCAGCACCCAACCACCACACAGGGAGGGAAACAAATTGCTCATCCCAGGTGCCCCCGCCACAGGGCTCTTAGCCTTTAGTTACCAAACAGGGATGGGATCATTTTATTACTTCTTCATTCAAGAACATCAGGGTGATTCAAGAAGTCCCAAGTGACTGCAGGATTGGCATCCAGACCATTCCCCAGCTGCCCAAGCCTCAGTCCATAACACTGATGCTCATTTCCCACAGATCCATCCTAACATCTCGGGAAGCTTGGAGTTTCTCATACACCTGCTCCATGGTCTGGAGAGCACTTTCCCCTTTTCATAGGGTTTTATGCCCTAAGGCTTAAGAAAAATGGGATGATTAGAGGAACTTTGTGGCTGCCCATGAGATATTATCATAATAAATGACAGATGGCTTATGCAGCTAACAGAAAACTAGCTCCTGTAATTTCATTTAAACTTCTGAATGCCAGTCTGAAGCAGGATGTATTTACTGCATGCATGTGGGAAAGCACCCATTTAAATGCGCCTTGTGAACAGCCCAGACAGGAGGCACGCTGCAGGACATGCCTCCAGCACGAGGATTCGCTGCAAGAGCAAGAACCATTTTTAGAGAGCAAACTTATCCCACATGATAAATTGGGCCCCTGACTATTGCCCAGGCTGGACTAGAACATTCTTCAAAATATTTCTTGAGTGCAATACTATAAGAAAACCTTTTAAGAGAAGGGAAATTGGACCATGACGTAGGAAAAATGGCCTTACTGGAAGCAATGAGAGAAACAAGAAGCATTGCAAAATTCACCATATTTAGATTAATATTCTTATCCCATAATGCAAGAATAAACCTAAGAGACATTAACAAATGCTTCCACTATCTTAAAAAGACATTGGTAGCTTCTTAGTAAGATACTTGATATCTTTAGTTCTCTGAAAGCCTCAGAGCATTTCACATGGGTAGTTTGTACATCAGAACGAATACATTGGGTATTATAAACAGTTGCATAGAAATCCACTGGCAAATTTTCCTAATTTTACTGACACTTGGTGTTTTGTGGTAACTGCAAGTCTCAAATTATTACAGGGAAAGCACAACTTGAGACACCTCAGCAATAAACTTCTGTTCATTTCCAAATATGCCATTAGCATGACAATAAAGATTCCTTCACCTGGCTGTTGAGGTTTGGGGGATTTCTCTTTTGTATGGAAGGATTTATGTGGTTGGTGAGAATCTGGTTTAATCACCTTGTCTGGGGCTCACCACAGTCAATTACACACTATTACAATGCCTGGTCATCTTTGTTTTCCTTACACATAAGGATAATAATTCTCCAAAGACTGACTGCTATGAAATGATCCAGGAGTCCCACATCAGCTGGTGATTGAATTATACCATTTCTGTAACAAAGCATTAATACACTACATAACTTTTCAAACCTAAGGCAGCATGGAAAGCTTGTGAAATGTTTATTAGTGATACATTCCTGAAGAAACTCAATATTCCATGAATGAACATCACCACCCATTTCACACGCATAGGTTACATCGATGTAAAACATTGAGCAGAGCAGTGAAGCCAGAAATTTAGTTTTCACCCTCAAAAACAGCTGCTCTTATGCAACACTTGCTTCAGATTCTTCTTTGTAACATCAACTCTCCACACACTGCTGCCTGACGCCTTGTATCACTGCCTCGATGGGGAGCTGAGCCTAAAGACACCAGGTAACGGGTCACACGCACAGCGCCTGAAGAGCCAACGCTTCGGAACGAGCTCCACAGAACTGAGCAAGGCCAGACCAACGAAAGCAAAGATGCAAGCAGCACTTTCATGCAGGGGCAGCTACAGGATAGAAGTTGCTGTGGAAAGGAGATGCACAGACAACCCACTGCCAAATCTCTCGGTGTCGTCATTGTCCGGAAGCAGCCGGACAGCATCAGCGTGGTGCAGCAGGACAAAGGCACCTGAATTCGGAGGAGCAGAGGGGAACACACGCAGAGAGGCCAATAACATGTTGCAATGCCGTGTTTAATGAGAAAGAAGCAGCTCATACAGAGGCAGGATTACATAGTACGGATTACAAATTGCCCGCAGCCTGTGGTTCGATGCAAGATGATTCATGTAATAACTGATGTCGCTTCCCTATGGCAGCTGTGTTGATATACTCAGCCCTGATCATAGCAAGACCCACACAGCACAGAAACAGAGCACAAGCTAGTTGACCCTACAGCCCTTTTTTATGCATCAGTAGCCACAGCAAACCTGCAAAGGGATCTACACCAGATGTCATACCAGATCCCTTTACGTTGCCCCAACAATACCTACAAGCCCCCAAGCAACTGGCAGTATAGTCCATAGCATTGAGAACAGAGTACTTAGACAGGAAGGCATTAGAAAATCAGAAAAGGTAATATGAGAAGGATGCAAATGGATTTTTTCAGGAGACTGGAGCATCTACAGATGCATTTAATGGCAGCCCCAAACGCTTAAACCTTTCCCAAACACTGTGCCCAGGAGCTCAGCCACATATCTACATCCTGCTTGTCATCTCCCAGATCTCCTGGACCTGCTTCTTTCAGCAGCAACTCTCATTAAGTTTAGCATGGTCTACAACTTCCAACTGGGTATCCCCGTCCCCATCTGGCACCACCATAAACATGGGAGCCCCCAGGAGCACGGGCAGCACTAAAGCCAGTTCCAACTTCAGGGGTTCCTGCAGACCCGACGACACTCTGCTGCGGGAAGGTGCTGAGGATGGGTCCAGGGAAAGTCACAACCACTGGTGGAGGGTAGATCACCACCCTGGAGTCGGGACACTGCCGAACACAGGGCTCATTGCAGCTGTCAGCAACGGGCTGGGGCGCAGCCACCCCACACGGGGAAGCACTGCCACCAGCACACGGGTTCACAGAGTGCACCATTCTTCAGGGATGGTGAATCTGAAGCACAAAGGAATAGTGTAAAAACAAGGCATAAATTCTTACAAGTTTCACGATCAAGCATTATAATAAAAGACTGCAAACAGGCTAGAGGGAAAGGCAAAATTGTCGTAGCTTAGTTCCTAGGAGACACCTATAAATCTTGTATTGAACACAACATCAGCAAATGAGTTTTCATGAAAACTTAATTGGAGCTGTTCATCCAGATCTGCATTTACCAAAGCCAACAGCTGAAGAGTCACAAATTTTTTAGTTTACATCAAGAAAACTTCAGATTGGTATCAGAGTATTTGCACAAGATTCACCCTGACTCAAAACTACAGAAGAGGGCTTTGCTAGAAAGAGGAATTCAGATGAGACTTACCTACTTCACAAGAGAAACAAGGCAAGAGAAATGGTCCTACAAGATCTGATGCTAAGCACTTTTATACTTCCCCTTAGACTGCCCAAAGCGTGAATCACCTACACGCATAACATCCTAATCAATTACCAAACACATTTCTTTCAAGGCTTCACTTGGTTAATGAACGCCAATTGTTTGAAATAAATCACTCTTTGTAATTATTAGTTTGTCCTCCTACCCCATCTGACCTGTACTTTATTGCCTTCCAGTCTCTGCTATTTCAAAACTTTATATAGAGGGGACACTCTGCCCCTGCACGTTGGAGAAAGAAGAGGTTTATGTGGCTCATGCTTGATCTCCTCCATGGACTTGTTCCCAGGCAGGTGGCAAATAGCCATTTGCTTGGAAGAAAACGTACCTGACTCAGCCCAGGCAGAGTTGCAAAAGTGAGGGATAAGCCGTGTGCTTGGCCTAGGGGTAGCCAAGTTCATTGCTCTGTGATGAAATCAGGGTAACACGAAGTCTGGTCAAAGCGCTGGCACACTGCGCAAATCCCGAATTTCATAGAGTTATATGTCCACAGAAGTCAGTGCCCTTCTCCCAGTTAGACACCAAGCGCGCATTTCTTTAAAGATGCACGCTTTAAAAATCGAAGAGGAAAAAAGGGTAAGGCTATATTTTATATGATATTAAGTGTCCCATACTGTGAAGCTATAAAGCATGACCTGATTAGGGCAATGGCAAAAAGACAATAAATCGGGTGTGGCTGATGCAACACCTTGTCAGGAATTTTTTCCAGTGCGTTGATTCAATAAAAGGGCACCTAAAGCCATTATAGTAATAACACATGAAGCACCTATAGAAAGAGTGGAAGATGCCTTTTGGAATCTCAGTTGCTGACAAATTGCAACCGCCAGCGTGGGGTTATCACCCACGTTCAACAGCAGCATGAAGAGAAGGCTTTCCAGCTGTAGTCAGCAACAGATGCCAAAGATGGCAACGGCGTGTGCCAGTACAGCCACTCCCACCCAGCCATAGCGGGTAGTAACTTGTCCATTCCGATTTACATGTCATTTTACTTAAAAATAAAGATATTTTGCTGCTTCTGTAGCAATAGAGAGGACAAGTCTGGGCTGTTCTGTTACAGTACACCTCACCTCAAAGCTTGCTCTCTTTCTCCCAGCAGCGGCTTGTTCTTGCAAGAAAAAGCTTTCTTTTGGTGGAGTTAGAGACAAATGTGGTAACACTGCAAAACAAACTTCCCCCCTTCCAAGGAATCTCAGGAAAAACATCTTTATCACCAGAGTGACAGCAAAATGACCTTGAAGGGCAAGACTAGAGCCCATTGCCTTCTATGCTGCTGTGGAGTAGAAACGTCAATCCGGATTTCCACAGCAATGGGAGATGACTGGGATGCTTCCCTGCTTTAATTGCACACTGACATTTATCTTCATAGTGTCATGATATTTGAGGATGACATAAGATATTTGTAATTCCTCTGGAAAATGGGCTCTGCCTTTGCTATAGTTGAAGATAACCGTGTGAATTGCAACATGTGCCTCTGTCTCAGCTTAGATTGGGTAGCAATTTATCCCTACAGTAATTCCTCAGAAACATTGGCATTAAATACTTAATTACTATTTTCAAATTAGCCAGCTGAAGATAAGTCTTATTTTAGAAACATATTAATTCTGTCTCAAAAAGTCAAGATCTTCAGTCCAACACGAGAGGAATCCACTCTGCTGGCCTTTGTTTCCTTCTCTGCTGCAGACTGCTGGGGGTTAAAGCCACCGCAGGCTCCATTTATCTGAACAGAAAGGATGACAACACTTACTAATACTTTCTGAAAGCATTTTCAAAGCACCCCATAAAAGCTCATTAGTGTTCTACACAACTGATGTTGTCATATGCTTTTTTTTTTTCAGAGCATTACACCTGCCAGCTCAAGCACTGCCGGAGAAGAGAAGGAAACAAAAGTGATGAGTCAACCAGGGAGCCACAGCCACAACTCAGTACCCGAGGACTGTGTCTGTAAGGAAATAATGCAACCAAACAGTCCACACGTCAGCTGAACTCACCAGTTAAAACAAGCTTAAGAATCAAATTCCATCACATTAAAAACTACAGATACTAAACACAAAAATCCTTATCTTTGTATCCATCGGGAGACAGAAGAACACACGTGAGCTGCAGACCAGCCAGCAACACCTTCGAGCACTCAGAAGGCGCTGACAGGACATTTATTCTGTGTTTAACAGAAATATTAACATTCTTCAAAAGACTTTAACAGTCCTTTGTCCATAAGGATATGCAGGAAAGATGTCTAAAACCTTAAAGGACCAAGCTAGAGCTCACCATCAGAGCAGGGACATCCATTTGATTACACTGTTAGAAGAAGCAGACAGATATCAAGAATCAAATCCATCCCTGAGACCAGCGAAACGTCACAGATTTACGCAGTTTAAAACCCAAAACTGCGTGTGGTTTAGTGCGCACACCACAGCAGGTGAGGCAGAAACCTTAGAAATAATAACATCAATTACATGTTGGCTTTGGCTAATAAGGGCTTCATGCCCAAAAAGGTGTCCTCTCCACCAGGCTGCCTAGGAGCGTATATACAAGGAATTTGAGGTTCAGAGCTTCATCCGTTTCTCTTGGTTTCTTCTCCTCAAACCAGGTACACGTGATCAGCTTAACAGCTTCATAGCTACAGCTGAATAGACTGTAACCTTGAGAGGTTTAGCACGTTTAATTTCATATCAAAGCATACCGATATGAGAAGCCACTGAGGGTCTTCCCACTTTGTCTTCAAGTGAGCAATACCATAGAGCTGTGAAGCGACAACAGTTGCAAGGGGAGCTGAACATATTTGTCACCTTGAAAATGTGGGATGAATAATGTGTATTTTTGAGAAATAAATCCTGCTGCAGCCCTGGTGTTAGTTTATCTTAGTCTGCTGTACTTCAGACAGCAACTGTGTACTCCACTTCTCCCTTGCATTAAAAGATTACATTTTACCGTTACATTTCATGCTTTGTTTCTCTCAAAGGAAAAAAGCTTTCTTACAAACAAGGCTTTAGATATCCCACGAGTAAAAGTCCAGGGCTGTTCTACTTCTGAATGACCCAGCCATGCAGCTTGGTGTCCACTTTCTAAAAAAACAGGAGAGGCTTGGAGGAGCACTGCAAGCTGCCCAAAGACAGCCTTGACGCCTGCTCTCTCCTACCAGATCGGCTCCAAAACTGTTGCCCTATACACTTCAAACCTATCACTTACCACTGGCCCAGCCTCAAACCCTCCAGCATCGCTACATTACTCTGCAGAGAATGATGCTTTCCCATAGCTTAGCCTTCCTTTAGGTGCTTTGAATTTTAGAAGTGTAAACAGCTCCAGAGACAACACGCTTTGAAGAACACCAGCGCCGGGCTCGGCATCACAAAGATCTGTAACTGCTCCCAGTAAATGGGGAATTTCCCACCCAGACATATCCTCCACTACACAGTGCACCACTACGAGGGGCTCAAGTTTTTTTATTAACTGGACCTGAGACTTCTCATTGCCTGTGGGATAGCTCAGGCATAGCATTAAGCCATGAGCCATAAATTCACCAGGAAAAAAAGAAATCTCCATTTTTCCCTTGGCAAGGGTTATTACCTGGCAGCTGAGGCTCTTCATGCTGCCTGATGAGCTACACAACAGAAAGGTGAAGAACAACGATCTGCGACACACTGGTACTAGACCAAGGTCAATGCAGAGACAGAACTGCTGATGAAGGCGCTTGCCTTTGAGCTTTACCTTCAAATTAAACCTAGCTAATTGGACATTGTATTATCTGCATACTCACCAGGAAAAATGTTTTCCCTTGAAGCAGATGGCACTGGCTATCGCTTAACATGTGATATCAAGATGCAGCACTGGCCTTACTGCCTATATCCATCATTTTGTCCCAAAACAAGGAGTTGCAACAAGAGTCAGTATTCATGGTCAGATCTCTATTCCCCTTTATAACATACAAACTTGTATTATATTTACTAGTTATGTAAAATCAGGGAGCTAAACTACTAAAATCTGCTAGCCTCTTTCTAAAGAGATATTCTGAGCTGGAAAAAAAGGAGAAAAATGACAAGAACATTGAACTTCATTGAACCACAGTCACGACTTGTGACAGCTCATCTCAGAGCCTATTCTTGACTCACCCCTCAGCTTTGCTCTACTGATAAATTAAGACAGTCCTTCCTGGTACCACGCTTGTGCAGACTTATGTTTACCTGTACATAAAACAAGAATAGCACTGACAGAAGCTTTTAAATAGCCTCTGCATGACAAGACCTCGTAACACTCCTCACAAACGCTCATTACTGTTTTACAGGAGCAAAGCTCTTCAAATTGGAATCCATTACCATGAACACCAGCACACGCCGAATTTAAAGGAAGCTCTTAAGACATCAAAGGCTGCTAATTGCATCACATGTAGGGAGCAGTTTGCCCTCAGATGGACAAGCAGCAGGCACACACACAGGCAGCACCCACACAGGCGCAGCTGAGGTCTAGGTGCAACCCAACCGTTGCTGGGACGGTCACAGGGTAAGATAATGGGGTCATAAAAGCACTTCCCCCATTGCTGTCACGGGGATGCCAT